CATGAAAGATGCTTCATACATGACAAATGCTGAATGCGTCTAAGAGAAGCTGTAATTGACTACGATTACAAACATCATGAAATGCCTGCAAAAGAGAGAGTAGTTGGAAATATATAGATATACATCAAAGACAGACATTAGACAGAGAGAAACGCAAGACAAATATGGTACAGCAATTAGTGGAAGTATGAAAAGCCCTAATTTCATTTCTAGGAGGTAGGGAGACTTTATCAAGCCTTGACGATAAAAAGAGACAGAAACTAGTTCCACATCACAGCTGTAAATAACTATCGTCGATTCGTTGACTGCGCGGACTGGACATAACCGCGGAGCACGCGCCGCGAGGTAAAACGCTTGCTCCAATACAAGATCGCCATTGTTCGTGCTCTCGCAACATGTTAACCGCACCGCATGTGGTCCGCAGCGCTTCAGCAGTCCGTACAGTTAACGAATCGACGATAGCTGCGTTGACGAACGATGCGTGCCAAACAATTTTCCGTAAAACTGTAAACCTTTTATGTGCTCACTGTACAAGTACAGTCGATTCATTTCATATGATCATGTGTGCACCCGCACACACCGTCCATCTTTGGCGTCCCCATCTCGGATTTGCGATCGCAAAAACGCGAGAGAGTGAGCAATTGCTATCGCTTACATCATTTAGATATAAATAGTACCTAAAGAGAAAAGAAAACAGCGAGAAAACAAGAATCGCTTAACGGGGTTGCGTCCTCCAAGAATCCAGGATGGGTACGCCAAAGATGGACGGTGTATGCAATGGCACACATGATCATATGAAATGAACCGACGGTACATCATTGAAAAGGTGCGCACTGTGTTTCGATGAATGCACTTGGCTTCGAAATGAGAATTTTACTTTTTGAAAAGGCCGATCGGTAGAAACACGTGCGAAGAAAACAACTTACGCTGTGTGTGACACTCAGACTAAACCTCAAATCAATCCTTCCTCACTCAATGAACTTTGCGTAGAACACGCTGGCGTTGAGTGAGCCGTGATGGTCGTTTGTTGCGTAAAAGGTCATGTTTTCGCGTGTAATCCGCTGAGGCTGAGAGTTTTTTCTCGAAAAAATTATAAACACAGGATTGAAGTAGCAAAGCATAGCGACGCCCTCTAATCAATAAGCATTTCGAAAATGGACGCATGCGAAACGCAATGATGCAGATCTTTGAGCGCAAAGAGAGCACGCTTGTAGTCGAATGATGTGACAGCGGCGAAAATGTTGAGAGAAAGGCACAGAAAGGCAGAAAGGCAAGAATCGTTAGCTCAATTCAAAAATCTTCAAATAGCGGGGAACCACGACGAGTCCCGAAGCAAACGCTCTTCCAAATAGCGCCCCTATGGCCCCGGGCAGACTTCACGCGATTTGATCGTCGCGACTGAATTGCGAGGAGACAACTGTTACAACATAATTCCATGCAGATCAACTTGCATTCGGTTGTGATACTTTTCCAGACCGAAATTTCTGAATGTGAAATGAAAATGAATGGAAATCTTGGCGATTTGGTCGCGACGATTAAGTCGCGTGAAGTCTGACCGGGGCCTATAGGTACTGGTTCACTAGTACTTGAAATAAAGCACTGAATGATAACGAAAATGAAAAGAAAGAAAAGCAAAGATGAAAACAAAGATTAGGCAACAAGAAATGAAAAAATGACGCGAGCCCACGCTGCCAATCTCGTTTGCCTGCACATCTAACTTTTCTGGTGCGATCAACAATGTCTTGAGCGGGCAACGATATGGCATCCAGTTGGCAGCCACAAGACGGCGTTATGAATTAAGGCTGCCTGCTCATAGCATTGATGCGGCCCGCTGACAGAAATCTTGTATTCGCAGCCCCATCGTTTCACGGTCGCTGCCAGCTTAACGGAGTCGCTGCCTCATCGTCGCCTTTTGGCTGCTTTTGTAGGAATGAATGCGCTCTGCAGCTATTTTCTGACTCATGGAAGATTATAGCTGCCCGCTGGTAGCCCGTCGCTGCCCGCTCACCGCCATTCCTACAATGTCGTCGCCCGCTCACTGCCACTTTTGCAGTATCGCCGCCCGCTCAGTGAAACTGCCCTTTATCGCCGCCGGCTGAGAGCCTGTGATTGTCTGAGCAGTATCTTGGTTTGCCTGTACTTCCTGAGATCCTCCTGCAAAGCTGTTCTGCAACTGGCGTTGTCTATCAGTAGCTCGAGATGGGTTGCATTCGGATCCTGCCTCAGAAATCTTCTTCTTTCGAGCATTTCCTTGGTGGTCTTCGAAATGCGTTCCACGTTCTTCTCGGAAGTCACTGAGGCGCACTCTTCGCAGGCTCGCAATCCTTTCAGAAGCCGGTCGTAGTCGTACGTTGGGTCCTCCTCGATGGGCAGTCACAACTTGATATGAGCTCCTCCAGCCTGTTACCGTCATAAACAACATTCTTCCTTCTTGCGGCACTGTGGCAGGTTTTCTTTTCCTGCCTTCGACTGAATCGTATCTTCGCTCGAAGGAGGCGGTGATCGGAGCCACTGCAGAAGGATGGAACTACTGAGACATCGAGCAAGCTCCACCTTCGGTTGGTGAGAATGTGGTCGATCTCCGCGTTAGTCGTTCCGTTGGGCGATTCCCATGTCCACCGGCGATGTATCTTCTTCATGAAAATGGAATTTCCATGGAAAAGTCGTGCGGCGGAGAGAAGCCCAACAAGACGGTTGCCGTTTTCGTTCCGGAGCCCATATCCAAACTTCGCGATCCTATATTCCTTTTCCAGTGGCATCCCGATTTTCGCGTTGAAGTCGCCCACAACAAACTTGTAAAAGGATTTCCCGTTGCGGACGACCTCCTCCACATCTTCGTAGAAAGCATCTAGTTCTGATTCGTCAGCTGCTGATGTTGGAGAATAGCAGTTGATGATGCTGATGGTCTTCAAATGTGGAGGTCGTAGTCGTAGGATGGCCAGTCAAGTTGATAAAATCCCATGCGAATCGACAAGATGGACGATAGATGGGTGGATGATGAAGCCGACGCCTCCCACGTTTCGTGATGGAACCTTATCACCACGAATGATGAGGGTCCAATCACTCATCTGCCGCACGTCCTTCTTCCTGGACTTCGTTTCCTGCAGAACGATGATGTGGTACTTGCTGCTCTGCAGCGTCGAGAAGAGCGTGGAGGTCAGCGTTTGTGGAGACTGTCCGGGCGTTGTAGATGCAGAGCATGAGGCAGTCTCCATGGCGTATCGTCCGGGCAGACGACACGCCATGGAGACTCCACGGCAGACGTGTCGTTTTTGTCCGATCCAAAAGGAGCCCTAAGGACCCTGACATCGTTCTTGCTACCACCCGGCGCCGTAGGCGTGATCCGATGTACAGGGTTTTTTCTAAATCTTCTTGCTGTCTGAGTGATAAAATTTGTTCCCCTACAAGAGCAGACTTACTAGGCCAACTCTTGGTTTCTACGGGGCGATCGCTGACCCCGGGCTTGGGGCGGGGAGAACCGCCTAGCGACCAGAAGAAGCCAGACGGCGGGGGATTTGGCGTTTAGCTGTTCAGTACGCTAAAGCCAAAACCCTTATATTTTCACATTTTGAGGCCTACAAAGAGTCTAAAATAGCTGACACTTCTGAATTTTGATTTCTTGTTCTCGCAAATCTTTTTTGCTCAAACTCTTTTCAACCATTGTACTACTCGATTGCGGCTAAAAAAATGGGCTGCTTATCATTGATACTAACAAATTTGGAGGAAGTTATGATTATTCAAGCGAGGTTTCAAAATTAACTTTTCTGCTTATAAATCCATATTTTTGTGCCCGTCTAACGTGCGCTGTACTGCGAAAGGTTTGATGTCTCTGATGCTCTCTGTCGCATTCAAATATGTAGATTTTTTTAACAAGTTATAACACGTCAAATTGAGTACTCGCAAAACGCGCATTACTTTTGCACCAACCTGATATCTTTTAATTCTTAAAAAGAAGGAGAGTCAATGAAGTTTAATAAAGTAAAGCTTTTGATCGCTATTCACATACAAGGCACCACTGTTACATTTTATCACTTAAATACAAGTTATCTCCCTTCTTTCATAACCACTTTGCGATTCATGAGCCGTATCGCTAAAAAAAACAGAAATCATTCTTCCTATCTGCTTCAAATAGCAGAATGGTGATTGTTCAACATCTTTTAATGCGAGCTTCTACTTTGTCAATGATGACTAGGAATAGACTTTCCAAATCCGAGAACAAGTGTTTCAAATCCTGAAAGATTAGGTGATGCACTTGTGTCATCAAGGTATGGAAAAAATTTGCAAAGTCTATTCACGATCAGATTTGTAGTACATGTCCGCGAAAAAAGTCAATCAGCCGCTCATCCAATCTTCTAAGCATTGTTGTCCTCGCTTTTTTTCACTTTCTTTAGCTCGATGTTTATTGAATCATCTTATGTAGCTTCCTTCAGCTATAAAGTGATCGTCGTATTACACCAGATACGCTATATGGTGCCACAAATAAACTGATTATCACTGCACCGCTAAAATAAGACTATACGATACCGCTCGCGTAACATGCAAAATTTCCGTGAATTCCGGGTATTCCGCGAAACTTCGCGACATTCCGGAAATCTCGCGGAGTTTCCGGAATTTCGGGGAAGTTCGCGACATTCCTGGAATTTCGCGATGTTTACGGAAATTTTGCACGTTATGTGAGTGGTATTGTATGTGTACAAAAAGCAGCTTTGCACTAGAATGTTATCTAAGTGGATTTGGTTGTTGTGATTGACCGTTGTGACGATACTGAATGTGAATAAGTCTTAGTTCTGAACGTTTTCAGAGGATTTCAGACCTTTTCCATTTGCATGAAGCTTATAAAATTTTTAGGAATACCAAAGATTTGGACAGTTGCTATGCCGTTAAAGCCGGATAGTTTATTCTTTGTTTTAAAGTTATTTATCTCCCTTGTACTGGTTGCTAGGCGTTTCATAGGCTGCAACGTATCAAGGGCGGGCAGAAGCAGAAAACTTTTTTCAGTAGTTCCAGCGTCTTCGTATCAAGCACGTATATCTTGAGATTGATATCAACCGTTGCCCATGCCTATGGTGTCATCTAAAACCGAAGTTCTTATTCTTTTCTTCTTAGTAAAACTTGTAAGCATTAAATCTTTCATAAAAGGGTATAGCTTATTTATATTCCAAGCTTTAGATTTCAAACACTGGTGTCTTCCGATTTGATTCTCAAGCTAATCATGGAAACACCATGTATCATCTTTATTTGGAAAAACAGTCTTTGTGCCTGAGAGCTTGTTATGATGAAAAGGAGTGCAAAGTCGCGGAATACAATGAGGTTTGCAGAATATACAGGCTGGAGCAGGTAATGAGAAGTTTACTTCAGACTAATGGTTTCTGTAGGCTATACAGACAAGGGAATACTGGCAAAGTAAAAGGATATGAACTCACACGTGAGGATACTGATTCGTCATGTATGACAGAAACATTCACAAGCGACATAGCCTTCCAAAAGATAAAACCACTTCAAGAAATTCCTAAAACTTCTCAATGCCAGACTCTTGCAAAGTCAGATAAGACTGTCATCAAAACTTTCAAAACAAATGAAGGATACCGCGTCTTTTTCACTAACAGTCCTCCCGAGTGGAATGCCACGAAACCCTGGTGAGGAGAGAGTAATCAGTTACTCGCCCCCAGTAAGGCTAGTAGCCGATTACATTTTAATTTACTTTTTGCCTATCGCCTTCCTTCGAGGTGCTGTCAATCTCTCCTGATCATTTCTGTTTAGGCTTGTTCTCTCCAAAAAAGCAGAAAAAGGATGTGCATCCGTGCCTGTGTTCCACAAAGCAAGTGAGTTTGCCATAGCAGTGTTCATGGTACGAGTTTTACCATTAAATTTTTCTGCTCACTTGTTTCTGAGCTCTGAATGTGCGTTATTTTGATAACACAACTATCGAACCCGTATTCGACTGATAGCAGCACTCAATTTTAGTTGAAAACAGTATAAAACACAAAATTAACAAAATCTAAACTTGCTGTTTGGAAATTCATATAAAATGAATTTCAGACCATCGTCGCTTGTATTTTGGAGAAATCTACAACACCACTGGCTACTACTTCTTTGATGGGTACGCCTTTGCAGAGCAGTGCATCTCTTCAAAGGGTGAATGCTTGGGTATGTCGGAGATACGAGAATATAAGGAGAATCCGGGCAACTTCTTCTACGATGAAGCTGGAAGGAACGATATGGAAGACTCTGGTTTGGGTCAGAATTTCTACATCGCAGGAATTGCATCTTATAGATAGATTTTGTTGAGAGCTATAATTTGGTATTGGGTTATAAATAGTTAGGAAGTACAAGTAAATTTTTGTCTTCATTGTTCAACTTTTTTCACCAACACGCATGATTTGAATCCTTTGTAATGCCGACAATGAGCATACGTTCAATTAAGTTGTAAAGAAAGTTCAAGACACTTGATTTTTTTACCAACTGTAACTATCGGTTCTTCCTAAATTTGCAAATCTTCTGCAAAGGCAATGATGTCTGTAACGTGCGCCCATGAACCGACCCAAGCATACGTCTTATTGTCCAAATTCGACTGTCGCTTAATCTCGGCATAGTGAAATTGCTTATTTGTGGCTTGTTGAAAATGCAGACCGGGATCGGTATTTCTTTATTCAACTAATGTTTCGGCTACATCGCCTTCTTCGGAGTCTGACAATGAGATTGTCGAATGCATAAGTAACCTATCCTATCAACCCTAACAACCGCTTCAAGACTCACAAGGAAAGGAAGGTTGGTCGAAGTGGCCTTTTGATGTGAAATGTGCATTGTTTTGTAGAGCTTGGGACGCTGATTTCAAATCTACCTTTGCTATCTGCTGCGGGCTTCTGGGCGAGGAGTTATGAAGGTTTTTGTGAGTAAAAATTTGAATGCAAGAGTAGGCTAAAATCAGACGTAACATTTTTTAAAGGGCTTAATTGGTAGTGGGGTCACTCGGTGCAACAAATAATCTTGATTTAAGTATACCAACTCCTTGCTGCCTCATTTGAAAAGGTTACGACTGATTTTACCCTACTCTTGCATTCAGCCTTTCACTCACAAAAACCTCCATAACTCCTCGCCCAGAAGCCCGCAGCAGATAGCAGAGGTAGATTTAGAATCAGCGTCCCAAGCTCTACCAAACATTGTACATCTCATCTCAAAAGGCCACTTCGACCAACCTTCCTTCCCTTGTCAGAAAGACACCCAATGCGTTAGCAAAACAGGAATTCAAAGTGTATGCAGGATTGAACAATGCTTACCTAGGCCGCATGCATTAAAAGCTTCATATCGAAGCACAGAGCTCCTGGATCTCACGCTGTCTACCGATCCGTAGGTATCCCTACCATCCTTAACTATGAACATATTGAACAGTAGCGAGAAGCTGCACAAGCCGCATTTTCTAGCATTTTGTATGATCCCTGATGATCCTCGGCGGCCGACCGTTTTTTTTTTCAAGGTCACTTTTCTTTCTTTTGACGTTAACGAAAACCTTCTGAAGTTGTACTGTTCATCTAGCCCAACAATGCTAAGCACTTGCTGATAAAAACAAGTGATGTATTGGAGCCATGAAATTTGCGATAAACCACAAGTCGAATGTTGGGGTTTGTCGAAAAATTCGAATTTTTAAAAACTCATCTGTTCTTATCACCAACATGTTTAGCACAGATGTCTTAGATGTTCAGGTACAACTTTGAAATGCTTTCGTTAACTTCGAAAAAGAAAAGTGATTTTGAAGAAAAGACGGTCGCCGCCGGGGATCATCAGGGGATCATACAAAATGCTGGAAAATGCAGCTTGTACAGCTTTTCACTCCTATTCAATATGTTCATAGTGGAGGAAGGTAGGAATTCTTACGTATACAGCGTGAAATTCAGTATATGGAACTTTAGGATATGAAGCCGCAAAAGCTCTGATACGGCGCCAGATCATTAGTGATATCTATGCAATCATGTTTTCGATTCAAATTGACGGCGCAGACATACGCATATAGGGCTTATCAAATTGAGTGTCGTTTGCACCAGCATCTCCATCTTCGCACAGGGCTCTGCGTCTCTTCTGCGGTACATGCTCCCTAATCACTTCCAATCGATTGATGCTCCGCCTTTCCCACGCTCGCCTTGGGAAAGCGCTCAGAGAGCAGCCCTGCGGAAGAGACGCAGAGTTCAGCGCGAAGATGGAGATGCCGGTGCAAACGACACTCAATTTGATAAGCCCTATAGTGGTCTTGATCAGGGTCAGGCGGGGGGTGTGGCACGCCACACCTGGGGGGGGGGGGGGGAGGGTCGTATTGAGGAGTCAAAAGAAGGGGAGGATCCGTAATTCAGATTGCTAATAGTAATATCGATTAATATGATATTCTTAAGCAGTTTGTAGAAAACCGCATTATGCGAAATACATGCCCATGAGGCATTGCCTCGTTATCACATAGCGTTATAAAGAGGCCTTCCCAAACTTAACGAATACCATATCTATAATAGCATATAAAATAATCATTGTAGATCAAGTATGAACGAATTCTGAAGTTTCAAAGATTGAGCCAATCAAGCAAAATGATAATTTTAGAACATGATTAACTTTGTTTCAAAAGTGAACTAGCTATCTCTTTTTGCACGCGAGACAATGCACTATTCCTCCTTTGCCCACCTTAGAAATCCGGCTTCAAAACAACTCCAAACAGTGATTAGAAGCCGAACAATATCTGATCTTTTCCATTTTTCGCTTTTAATGGTTGTGTTTTTATCAACTGTTACTCCGAGCAAAGACAATTCAGGCTCAAATCACTCCTGGAATTCTACGAGCTTTGAGCTGTCGAACTATTTAAGTACTATTTGCTTATGTTTTTTGACATAGTTAATGGGTTGTGGCACAACCCCAAAAAAGGTGTGGCAGTCACTACAGCAGCAGCTAATAGCCATTACGCTTGCCTGTCAACATCATTCGTATAAAATGGTACCGAAAGGAATGTTCGAAGAACATCATATTATATGCCGACTCAGCGCATCCGAGTGCAGTAAAACGAGCTGTATTCCGCAACATGTTCTGGACTGCCACGAGCGTGTGTACAGGCGAGCAGGAGCGCCTGGAATCCAGAGCCATGGCTACGCAGAGAGCGCACAGTAATGATTAGTAGTTCAACATACCTATCATAGATTCTCGAAGTTTGCGTGCAATTGCCATCCACATAGGAATGATAATAAAATACCACTAATAATACCCTATGCATACCGTTTGTTTCCGATGTAATCAGCTCAGCAATCAAACGATGCGTAGTACGGGCTCAACTGCAAAACGAAGTCACTGCCTTAAACATTTAGAATAACAACATTAAGAAGCAGCTACTAGGAGTAGATTTTATGATGTAGAGTGTGTTTTTGAAAACTCCTCGTTTGCACGCACGAGAAGACTGGCGATCGCGCGAAGGTAGGGATCGTTTACCAACTACAGTATGTGAGCTGTGGCGCACTATATATTGGTGAAACGGGTAGAATACTGAAAATTAGAATCAAGGAGCATTTAGCGAATAAAAGGCGAGTGCGTTGTCACAGAATAGAGGTACATGATGGCAGTGTTTTTGATGTATGCACAATTTTGTCATGCGAGGCAGAGATTATAGCACGAAAAATTATGGGAGCAGCATGGATTTCTGTCAGAAACTCAAGTATGAATAACAAAAAGAAGGCTTATCAACGACCGAACTCGTGCCATTCTTGTCGATATGTGTACAGCCTGCACATTATACTTGGGACCGAATCGAATGATTATTCGATCATTGGAATAAGTCATTCAAATGCGAATGATTTGAAAAGTCGAATATTCGAAAATTTGATATCTCAAATAAAATTCGATAGTCGAATATTCGAAATTTTCAACGTTCGAATATATTCAATATTTGAATATTCGAAAAAAAATTTTGAATTGCCCCAGATATACTGCGCATATAAAAAGATCATTCCGCTGAGCAACGCTTAGTGTCGCCCGTCTATTATGCGGCTACACTAATTCATTAACACCGCGGTGGAACATAGGTCACTTTCAGTGGCGGTCCCAGGATTTTGGACCGGGTGGGGGAACGGCAAAAAAGTTTTTTTTCAAATGAAGGTGCATGGCGTTATCCACGCATTCCGAAAAAATTTTTGGAGTGCTTCTCAAAATTCGGGTCCATAATCCCTAAAATCTTAAAAAAGAAGGCGTGGCATCAGCCATGGCCCGAAAAAAAGAACTTTTCAGGGCTAATTTAAGTTTTTGGAAAATTTTAAAAATTATTTTAATAGTTTACAATAAACAAGTCACTTGCACATTTTCCATGGCGTTTGGCGGTCTTGTCTTGTAGGGTGAATAACTGCAATCTACTTCAAAACTCCGAAAACGACGACTTTGTCAAAACTAGTCAACAAATGATTCCACCGTACTAACCTCGATCTGATACATAACGTAGAACAAGTACATCAAGATGCCCAGGTCCGAAGAAGAGAAAACTGTGAAGATATTAGGTCTATTTTCTTCTTCTTGAGGCCGTTGGGGAACCAGGCCAACACATGTAATAGTCTATTTCCAGGCCTGCTCTTATATAAGCTGAATGTCTGTTTGTATGCCTGTATGTCTGTGAGCACGTAAGTTTCGAATAGAAAATTCCATTTCTCAACCGATCCAGCCAAAGGCACACATACACTTCGGGCGGGGCGGGTGTCGTAGGCTACTTTTCGTCATCGATCGATGTCGATTTTAGGTTTTTTGACTTTTTGCAAAGTTTGAGCTACGGAGCTGAGTTGGCAATAAGAGGTAGTAGAGCATGCTGATTACTAACACAGCGAGAATAGGGAATTGGCGTGAAGGGGTGGGCATAGGGCAAGATTGTACAGGGATGGGACCTTATTCGTAATTTCTGGCAGGGCCGGGTGGAGCTGAGTAAGCCAGCTAGTCTACTATAAAGTATTTGTGTAACATAGATTTTGGGCAGACACTGCCTTTGAGGTCACTTATTGTCGTAGAATGGCTTAGATCTTTTTCTCACTGCATACAGTAGACCTCAGGACAGTTTGCACAACTAAACACTAAGTAGTGCAGTAGTAATTACTCCAAAAGAAACGAATGCTATTAAGGCTAGATAAGGTCGCTAGTGTCAAATTTAAATATGCACTTTCACTAACCCATTCTTTAATTCAGCTGTTTTCTTACATTTTTTCCGAAGATAAAGAAAATCGGGACGCAGCTATCCAACAACTGGCCCGGTCACGGTGAAAGTTGGCTCAGGGTAGCCAACATATGCTCTTCCTTTTTTTTTGTATACAGCTTGTAAAATAAAGATT